CCATTTCTCATATAGTGAAGAATTGTGTTTCTCCTCCACCCATCCCAAGACAGTGCAGTGTCCTCAGTCCCTCAGTGTGTCACAGGCCTCCATAATGATAAAGTGTGCATCAGTCGTTGCACACCTGGGACAGGTGGACATCCCCCATGGCCCTTACCACGAACACACTAGCTTCAGAGTGCCTCTAGGTTGCCTGTGGAGCTGTCTTTGGCCTGTGTTTCCCTGTTCTGGAATAACACAGAAGCAGAGCAAGCTCCCTTCTGCTTGTACCAGGCAGTGTTTACAGTCCTGTGCAAACCCAGTGTGTTTCTGGTGCCTCCTCTCAAAGCTGAATGCTTTTCTTCAGCCGTGGGGGACCCTAGGGCAGCAATGTGACACTATTTGGACATGGCAGCTCTCCTGGAGTACCATCCCCAAGGAGAAACCTGACTGGAACAGATTCCAAGCCTATTCACTCTTATCTCAGAGCCCAGGGTAATTTTCCCCCTAATTGCAATTTTGCTGATGCAGAGATTGCTGTGCACTTAACCAGAGCTGTCTGGGATACCCACAGCCCTTTAAGGCTTCACAGTAATTTTCCTGTTCTTGCAGTGTTGATGGGGGAATGACTGCAACATTCCCCCATTACTTTCCTTACGAGACAACACTGTGGTTTTGACCTGGTGTTTCATTAGGCATCAGTGTGCCGAGGGCTGAGCACTCACCTGCCAAAAGGCAGCATGTTCCCTGATGCTCCCACGCTGAATGGATCTGATGGGATTATTCCTGACCCAGAAGTTCAGTCTCAGTTCAGGGCCTTTGTGGACCTGTGCCAACTGGCCAGTGTAATTCCAGCTCAGCTGGTAAAATCTTTGCCCTGAACAAAACTGCCTGGGACCTCCAACATAACTTGCAAGGCCTGGGGCTGACCCCTTCAGATTGACCCCTCAGCAGCTCTAAGACTGAATGCAGCAGTATATGACCCTTCTCTGCTGATGCTGGGCTCTTAGGTGCTTCCTCACCTCAGCCTGGGCTCTGTCCATCCATTTTGCTCTCACTCCCTCACTCTGTTTATTTATAGTAATCCCTAGGAATTATAGCTCTGATATCACTGAGTTAAGTGTTCCTTAACCCGTCAGTGCTGCGAGTTCCTCTGTCGCTTGCTGCTTCCTACTTCAAAAATAGAAACAGCAAAATCTACAGCAGGAGAAAAACTCCCTGCTCTTTTCTTCTTCCAACAGGACAGCCTTGTTATACCTGTAGTCAGAATCAGACATCCCTTACACGTGGGATATCTTCTTCCCAAGCAGAGATATTCTTTTCCCAAGTTGTTGCCTCGTCCCAGCCTGGGGCAGACCTTGCAGGAAGCAATCCAGAACTGTTCTATGAGTGAGCAAGGGTGAAGGGGAAGCACCTGCCTGTTCCAGGAGCAGCTGAGCACCATCATAGCCTGGATGTTACTTCATGGGTGCCTGTAGTAGTCAAGTGGGGCAGGACTGTTTGCATGCCTTGTAGAGCAGTTAACAGCACTCTCTTTTTTGCCTGTTGTCCTTTAGGCCAAACTTGGGAACAGCTCTGTGAGCCCCAACGTGGGGCATCTCATCCTGAAATACCTGTGCCCTGCTGTCCGGGACATCCTGAGTGATGGGCTCAAAGCTTACGTCCTGGACATGATCATAGGCCAGAGGAGGAACATCCCCTGGAGCGTGGTGGAGGCATCCACCCAGCTAGGTATGGAGGGTGTGCAGGGATGCCCACTGCTCTGTGGTACTCCTGTGTTGGGGCTGGGAGCTGCTGGGGAAGGTTGGCTGTAAGGAAGGGGATGCAGAACAATACCCAGCCCCCTGCATAGAATAGGGTGTAGCTTGACCTTCTGCTGCAAGGTGGGAGAGACACTGCTCTATTCTGCCCAGATATTTATTGACACTTCCCCTGAAATGTCCACATTCTCCTGTAAGAGGCTCTAGCCTGTGAAAAAAAGAAAAAATTCCCCAGAATAACGCACTTTTTTCCCCTCTGGTTTTTCAGGAAGTTTCTAGACCTTCACCTTTAGCCCTGCACAGCCACTATATAAGGCAGAGTTGTGTTCTAAACTGATCTATGAGAAAATTTGCACACACAACTCATTTGTCTTAAGCATTCCCAAAATACTTGCAGCCTCTGCTAGTACCAGACTGAATGCCAGATTGTGACAGTGGCCACCATCCAGGAGAACTCCTTTGAGGTTACAGATGGCAGGACCACAGTGATTTCTGCATCATGAAGAGCTTATATCCAGGGCTGGGAAGCCTTCTAGCCTGTTTGTGGCAAATCTTCAGCTCTGATTGCAGATACCCCAAATTATAACCACCCACCACAATATTGTTTACCTGCTGCTTTTGAGCCAAGGGTCATGATGGTCCCTCAAGTTTGTGAACCAGATCTGTGTGGCATTGAAGCTCTCTGGTGGAGGGACAATGCACATACAGGCATGGGCACCCAGCCAATGACTGTCTTTCCCTTGATGCTGCTTCCCATGGTGCTCTTTGGCTTTGCTGACCACAACTAATGTAAATATTTTTTTCTCTCCATAGGCCCCTCTACTAAGTTGCTGAATAGCCTCTATAGCAAGATCAGCCAGTACACAGAGCTCACCAACCACACCATGAGGTTCAACGCATTCATCTTTGGCCTCCTCAAGTAAGCAGGCTCCCTGGGCTGGCTCTGGTCCTTGGCTGGATGCAGGCACAGTTGCCAGTTAAAAGGCTTAAGTAACCTGGGAAGCTGCACCCCAGCTGTAGGGGAGGGGTGGAAGAAACTTTGAGACTTAGGGAACTTCAGAAGGATCGAAACCTGCCCTACCAGGCCAGGACTGAGCAGGTGTGGCTGTAGCCCACTGAAGAGCATTGTGAGCTTGGGTTAGCCCCAAAATATGAAGTGGGAAGAGTCTGTCTGTCAGGGTTCATACAGGGATAGACATGACATGGATAAATTACTTCTGAAAATCCCTGTTTATGTCACTGCTTTCTGGAGTTGCAGTGCATCCTGGTGCATGAGGCTCTGAAGGAGAAATTACCCTGGTCCAGGACTTAAGGCTGACCCTTCCAGGCTGGATAAGGGGTGTGCACACTACACTCATTGTTAAACAGAAGAAGGCAGTGGTGCAGGGATGAACGCTGCTAGGATGGTATTTCCCTGCTTCTCCTCAGTGGTCAGCAAGAGCAGTGGCAACAGAGTCCCCAAGATCTCCAAATGCAGAAGGACACCTACAAGCAGGAGCAAGCTCTGCCCTGCTCTCCCCACTGAGGGTGGCCCAGCTCTCCCTTGCTGCCACAGGATGCCAGCAGACTTTGGGCCAAGCCTGCAGTAGTGGTCTCATGTTTGTAGATAATTTGCCTCTTTCGTGTGACCCCCTCTCAGCAAAGCTAAGCTCTGCCAAAGATGTAGGGACTAACCTATGGTGAGGAAACTTCTGGAAACAAGGTTGTTAGGGGTTGTGGTTGCACAATGCCTTGTGTGAAGCAAACTGGATGGCTCCATGACAGACTGGGTGGCTATGGTCAGTGTATGCTGATGGGAGTGAGCCACTGTCCTTTCACCAGTTCTTGAGGTCCACAGCTTCATGCTGTGTAAATTCCCTTTTCCAGCCACCCTTATTCTTATGGAACTGCTAGGATGCAGGGATTAATTGATTTTAACTTTGTTCTCTTTTCTCTTCTCTTCTCTTCTTTTCTTTTCTTTTCTTTTCTTTTCTTTTCTTTTCTTTTCTTTTCTTTTCTTTTCTTTTCTTTTCTTTTCTTTTCTTTTCTTTTCTTTTCTTTTCTTTTCTTTTCTTTTCTTTTCTTTTCTTTTCTTTTCTTTTCTTTTCTTTTCTTTTCTTTTCTTTTCTTTTCTTTTCTTTTCTTTTCTTTTCTTTTCTTTTCTTTTCTTTTCTTTTCTTTTCTTTTCTTTTCTTTTCTTTTCTTTTCTTTCTTTCTTTTCTTTTCTTTTCTTTTCTTTCTTTCTTTTCTTTTCTTTTCTTTTCTTTCTTTCTTTTCTTTTCTTTTCTTTTCTTTCTTTCTTTTTCTTTCCTTTTCTTTCCTTTTCTTTCCTTCGCTTTCCTTCTCTTTCCTTCTCTTTCCTTTGCTTTCCTTCTCTTTCCTTCTCTTTCCTTTTCTTTCCTTTTCTTTCCTTTTCTCTTTTTTTCACTTCCTATAGTATCCGGTCCTTGGAGTTCTGGTTCAACCACCTCTACAACCATGAAGGTAGGAGCTTGAGGTCTGTGGGTTGCCCACGTCTCTTGGTGGTCTCTCAGCCTAGGCAGCTGCCTTTACTCTGAGCTGAAGGAGTAGACTCCACACAGTTCCAGTGTACATGTTGTTGGAATGCTGCTCAGCTCAAGAGAGCAAGGTGGAAGTCAAAGCTGCCTCCACCTGCACCTCGCCTGCCATGCCATTCCCAGCTGCATCTAGTACCCAGGCTAGTGCAGATCCCTCAGTCTTCTTGCAGGAGACAAGATCTAATCCTCCTCACATGTTTGCCCTGTCCAGTGGCTGAGAGCTTTGTATATCTGGAGATGTGCATACTTAGCTGAAACCCTTTGGGGGTGGGAAATGCAAAGAAAAGGAAAAATGTCCTGACAAACAAAAAACAGATTTAACTAGATTTATCTGTCTTTTAAACCAGAAATGTTTCTAGAGCATGCAGATAACACAGCAGCATGACCCAGCTGCCTGATGCCTAGCAGCAGCATGACTAAGTGCTAAAGTGCTCAGTGAGACAGACACCCTTGACCTGCTGGATCCTCTGAGACTGCTGCTGGCTCAGCCTGTGCCCCATGCACTGCCTCGAGTCCAGCCCAGTATCTTCTGGCAGGTTTGGGAGCTGACAGCAGACACTTCCCAGGCCTGTGTGTGCAGTCGACACTGCTCTGTGGAGCAAACAGAAGGAAAGACCTGCCTTTGTACTGAGCAGTATGACAAGAGAAGCACCCTGGGTTTTTTTGGAGCAGAAGAAGACCATCTTTTTCAAGCTATCATAACAGCTGGAGGTGTGAGCAATAGTTAGGGCTGTCAGGATGTAGGCTAAGCAAAGGGTTTGGGGATAAGGTGCAAGTTCTGCCTGTGGATAAAGTTTGTTATCTCACTGGGGCCAATTATCCACGGATCCTATTCCCAACTGTCTCCCTCGGAGTGAGACCTGACAAGGCAGCTTGGGGGCAGGGGACTCTGCTGATGTGGTCAAATTAAGTGAAGGATGAATGCTGCAGGTACAAATGCTAGCCCATTTTTTGTGAGGATCCACAGCTCAGCTCCTGGAGAGACTGTATTCAGCTGTCCCTGAGACCTCTGTCTGCAGGGGATGGGTACTGGCAAGATCTGCAGCTCCTTGTCCACCTCCAGGAGGTAGGGAAGAGGTAGTATTTAATGGCAGAGGTCATCCTGATGGATAGGCTGAGAGATAGGTCCTAGCTGCAGGTGCAGCTGGAAGCAGGACCTGGGCCAGTTTGCCCAGAGCTGACAGAGCATCTGATGCTCCCTGACCCAGTGCAGAGCCTTGCACTGCAGCCACAGCTGTCGTGTCCAGCTTCTCTCCCCATCACTTTGGCAGCTTCTTGTGGCTTGGCAAAGGTGTCAAGGGCCTCTCCTCTAATTATTGTCTCCTGCTCTACAGATATCATCCTGGCACACTACCAGCCTGTGGGCTTCTTGTGCCTGTCTCACAGCGTGTGCCAGCCTCTTTTCGAGGAACTGCTGCTCCTGCTCCAGCCTCTCTCCCTGCTTCCTTTCAACCTGGACCTCCTGTTTGAGCACCACCTGATGCAGATGGGCAAAGAGCAGCAGCAGCAAAAGGAGCTGCTGCGTGTGAAGCAGGACCTGCTGCTTTCTGCTCACTCCACCCTGCAGCTGATGCGGACACGGGGCAGCAGTGAGGATCCCGATGGCTGCAGCGCCTCGTCTGATGTGTGCAAAGTGGGTGTCAGAGCTGGAGACATCTCACCAGGACACAGCCCCCAGCCAGCTGCCAGTGAGAGGGTCAAGGGGGTGGGGGCCTCCTGCGGAGATGGTGACAGGGAGGAAGAGCGCAGGAAGGTTAAAGAGAGCACGTGGGAAGGGAAGAAGGACAAGCAGGCAGGGTGGTGGTACCAGCTCATGCAGAGCTCTCAGATTTACATTGAGGGCTCAGCTGAAGGCTCGAAGTTCGTCCACTGTGAGAAGAAGAAGGTGGCTTTGAATGCTGGGCCCAGGCCAGCAGAGACCCGCAAGGCACCACCCCCCCGCGAAGGGGTGGTGGAGGGGGCAGAGGCTCGTCCCATTGCAGAAGGCATCTTGGAGGAGAGGGCCAAGGCTGCCAGCAAGCCAAGTCCTGAAGCTGTGGAGGAGCCCTTGGAAAAGCCCCAGCAGGTCCTAGCCAGTGAAGAGTTGAAGGAACGGAGCTGGCCTTTCTGGATGGGCAGCCCCCCAGACTCTGTGCTGACGGAGCTGAAGCGCAGCAAGGAGAAGGGGGCTCAGCAAAGAGCAGGAGCAGCAGCAGCACAAGAGGAGAGCAGCACCAGTGCTTCAGAGGACAGCCAGCCCATTAAGTGGGGACACTTGTTTGGGTCCCGGAAGGTGCAAAAGGAGCCCAGACAGCCTAACAGGTAAAGGGAAGGGGCTGGGAAGGGGCTGGTTAAGCTGGGGTTGCAGCAGTGCAGGTGGAAGTCAGGCAAATACCTGACTGCTGGGCTACACCACAGTGGTACACAGAGTGTGTGAATGGAGAAGTCTGTCACCCTTGCCCAGCCCTGTCAGCCTGCCTGCCTTAATTCCTCCCACACCATGGTCCCCTTGGCTCCTACCGAGTCCACTTCACAGGCTTTCCTCTTCTGCCTGAGGTATACCACTGCCTCAGCTCCTAAGCTCCCTCCCCAAAGGAAGAGCCCCCTCTGCATGACTCCTGTCATCACCTCATCCCTCATAAAAACATGTGCTGAGAACAGAACATGCAGCCATCCTTGTTGCACACAACAGGTGAGGAGGAGGCATGACATTCTCCCACACAGCTGACACCTCCCATCACTGCCTCTCCATCTATACCCTGACTGTTTCTACAGTCACTGGACTTGTCCTTTGCAGTCTAGACCATGGTGTGTCTGGAGGATGCTAGGCAATCCCCACCCAGAGACACCCTGGGGACCACACTGCACTTTGTGCACACAGCCAGACCTCTAAGGCATGACCTTGCCATAAGAGTGGCTGCCCCTTCCCCGCAGGTGTGCTTCCCTGCTGCTACCTGCTTCTCTCTCCTTCTTGCAGGTTGCCCTCTGGCTGGCTGAGCTTGGACAAATCTGTGTTCCAGCTGGTGGCCCAGACAGTGGGGGCAAGTATGTGGCGAGAAGCAGCTCCTGAGCCGGAGCCCCCCCAGCCAGAGCCACCTGAAGTGCCCCCTGAGGCACGGCCAGCTCGGGGGCTGTCTCCTCACCCTCCATGGTGAGTGGCACCATGTGGCCATCCCGCAAGTGCTGAGGTGTGGTGGGTTGGGGTTGGCATGGCTGTGCCCACACCTGGCTCCCTTTGTACTTTGTAGACCAGGGGATGCTCCAGAGCTTGGTATGATGCAGAGTGTGCATCCATCCACCCCAGTCTGCAGGTGGGAGGAGCTGGGGGGCAGCTGGAAGCCTGGCTGGGGAGGTGGTTTCCTCACTTTTCTGTGTCTGCAGTAGCACTTGGGCTTCAGCGGGGTGAGTTTCCTGTGGTGACCGAACCCTTCCCCCCCTTCCTCTGCTTGCAGTGAGGTGAAAGCCCTTTGCCATCACATTGCCACCGAGGCAGGACAACTGAGTTTCAACAAAGGGGATATTCTGCAAGTCATCTCCAAGGTGGATGGTGACTGGCTGCAGTGCAGCCTCGGCTCCGAGAAGGGACTGGTGCCCATCATGTACGTCACCCACCCGGAGGACGAGGACTATTGACCTGGCTGGGAGGCCAAGCACAGTACGGTGGGCTTCTGAGGATCCTCTGGGGAAGCCCACCCTGCCAGAGGAACAGACACAGCTTCTTGCTAGTTTCTTACCTTTCTTGCCATTACAGAATACAGTAACCGTAGGTGGTTCCTTCTTGCTCCTCCTCGTGCAGCTGCCAAAGGCCAACTCAGCCCCTAGGGTCTTCTGTGAGCTGCACCTCATATTGCCAGGCATCACCATGCATGCAGCCACACCGGGGACTGCCTGAGCCCCCTCCACCTCACGCCACCTCCAGCACCCTTAGGGCATGGACTCTTCCATACCAGGAACCCGAGCAGTCCCTGCCAGGGCAGGACTGCCCAGCTCAGTTTCATGCTGGAGGCTGCAGGATGCTGGCCATCCCCTCTCTGGAGGTGGCAGTGCCAGCTGCAGCCTGCAGCATCCCTGGTGTCATCAGCCACAGGGATGGGAGCACCATGTGTTGGTGAGGTCTCTGCAAGGCTGGGCTGATGGGTTGCATTGCAGCTTGATGGGGGGCTGCAAGGTAGGCTTTCACACGCAGGAGCAGCCCTGTCCTGATGTGTAACATCAGCGTGTTGTGGGTTGTAGCAGGCCAGGTGGCCTGGCACTGTCACCCTGCGGGGCTGGGGGCTATGCCTGGCTACAGCCAGAGGAGGGGGACAGGGGAGGTGTGTGTGCAGAGCAGAGAGGTGTGTGGGGTTGTGAGGAGGGTGTGTGAATGTTCAGTGTTAGGTAGGTCTGGGATGGGTAGTGCCACCCTGTGCAGAGATGGGTGGTTTGGGGGGTGGCCCCATGCCCTCCACACTGCTGGGAGCCAGTGCCTGGGAGGCCCTGGGAGGAAGCTCAGTGGAGGGGTGCTGGAGGGCGGGGGGTGAGGGCAGGGTCCCTGATTGGGCTAGGGATGCTCTTTGGAGTTGGGGGCAGTGCTCCCGGCAGGTAGATCTGGGGGTGCTCCCAGAGGGATCCAGGGAGCTGGGGTGGGAGGGGTGGTGCTCCCCTTGGCATAGGGTTTCTGGTCTTGCTGAGCAGTGCCATGGGGTTGGGGGGTGGGAGGGGAGGAGTGTTGTGCACAAGCACAAGGGGATATTGGGGGTTCTGGGGTCCTCGGTAGAGGTAATGCCAGTCAACCCCTTCCTTGCCATGTTCATGCTGCCTGCTGGGGATATTCACCTGCCCTTCTGGTGGGGAACAGTGTTAATAAAAGGCCATGCCAGTATTTGGTGCCTTGGCCAGGTTGACGCTGCTCTGCCTGGCCTGGCTTCCCCATGGCGAGGGGCCCTGGTCTTGCAAGGTTACCTCCTGCTTGTACATCGCTTCGCAGACATCGCGCCGTATTTAATTTGTATTTCCCCGTTAGAACGAGGTGTCTCGCCGTTATTTATTTCTTTATTTATGATGCATATTAATAAAAAAGGTGCTGATTGAGCTCCCTGCGGTGAAGCCTTTTTGATTTCAGCCCATCCCTGGGGAGGGTCCCAGGGTTCCCTGTGCTGGGATGTGGCACTACGAGCTTCATCTTGCATCCACCACAGCCAACACCAGACCTGCAGAAGGAGATGGGTTGCCCGCAGCTATCGGAGCTGTCAGTTCAGGCTGAGGGTGCTACATCCTATCATCAGATGATGGTATGCATCAGGGAGGCAGTGTTTGAGGGGCTTGGTCCTTGTGCATGCTGGCAAGGGACCAAGCAGGTTTCAGAGAGGAGTGCACACCATTTCAGTCTGGCATCAGCTTCCCTAGGGTGCTCCAGGTATTGTCCGTAAGATGCCTGTAACTGGCACTTGTAACCCACAGGCAGTGGGAGGAAGTCCTGAGCAGCAGTCCTGGAAGGAGGTGGTGCAGGGTGGGTTGTGGGGCTGGGGCTCAGAGCCTTGGACAACCTGGCCATGATGTTCAGTAGCTGTGAGTCACTCACAAGGAAGGACTCCAGGGCATTTAAACTTGGACTCACACAAGCATTGGATCTCCAAGTC